TCGGGATTCCCTACTTCGTCGCCCCATACTCGTGGCCCTACTAACCTTCTGCTTCGGCAGAAGGTGTTCATCGATCCACGGGTCATGGGAGGAACTGGTTTATCCTGCCGAGGTTCCCTTTGGTACGTCTAGCCTCCCCCACGTTCCTACTAACCTCCGCGTCGGGAGATGTTCGTCACGCGGTGAAGGAAGATCAGGCATACCTCGTCAAGACTCCCTCTCTCACAGGAGTCGTATCTCCCCTTCTCCTCTTTTTTCCCACAGACGGCGCCAGTGTTGAGGTTTATTCCTTCAACCCCCGGGTCCAACACGTAAGCCCAAGGATTTCGAATGGAGTATGTGATTAAACTAGCCCATCAAGCAGATGATATGGATTGGGAAAGCAGTAAGGTAGCAAGTAAATGATTAGGTATTATTATCTCTTAATAACTCCCTAATACAATACTTTCCGCTAAGGCTCCGTCGGCCGTTCGTCTTACAAGGCAGTAGAAGTGCTGCGAGTAAGAATACTATAGCTAGAGTGCTAGTAATAGAAAGTTGCCAACCCTTTACAATGAAATAAATGCTTCTATTTATACCCGCCAATGGGCAGGTGGCTATGCTGACGTGGAGGCCTGCGGACCGCTTGTGTCCCAACCACCAAATCTTCTGCATTAAATGCACTTCCCGCCAGAATCTAGGCTTCCCGCCTAAATAATGGGGACGTTCGTCCGCCAGGGGGTGAGCTGGGTCACTCCAAGTGACCCCCAAGAAACTTCGGCTGTTCGTCCCCTGACCTTGGTGGATTCTCTCCATGTGGACTGGATCTCCTCCGACGATCATGGGCCTGCCCAGGAGACGTTCGTCGTTATCCCTGATGGCCAGTGGTCCTGCCCCTTACCTCTGCCCATACGTTCGTCGCGATGGGCCGTTTGAAACCTGGACCCCCCAATTCCAGACGTTCGTCTCTTCCCAAGGGTCATGGGCCTGCGCCCAGCCTGGTCCTAGCATGACGTGCGTCCGATAGAAAAGAGGGGTTAATGGGCCGGACCTCGGCCTGGGCCATTATCCCAACAAAGATGTTCCCGCTTTCGTTTTTTAGCAGTCCCAAAAAGAAGTTCCCTTTCCCTAAATGGAAAGTTATCCTACATCAAAACAGTGCAAAACAGTGTCAAACAGTGTCAAACTGTGTCGAAACAGTGTCAAAACAATAAAATTTACCTCTGCTAAGTTTATTTTCTTAATATGTGTGTATGTCAAATCGGGAACATCTTTGCGGGACGGATGGAGTAACAGGTTTGAAAACATTTTACCCTGAACTCCATACATTGCTCTTCTAACACCCCTGAACCTGTTATTATTCCCCTACTTTGACTCGGTTTCGACTTTTGACATGAACAATGTAAATTTTGAAAATAAATTTTGAAAATCCAATTTATTCTTTTATATATCTTTTTATGTCTTTAAATGAAAATAACCATTATCATTAAATTCCATTTGGCCAAGCTTTATGGGATGAAGGGGGTATTTATTTATTTTTATCTCATTTTTTTGTCTTCTTCTTCTTGTTTGTATTCTCCTTTTGGCATCGTTATTATGAATCGATTCATGTTAGCCGATCCCAAAATCTTTTGGGATTAAGACTTGGATGTTGTTGTTGTTAAAGTTACTTAACACCATATGATTTTGAATCATAAAGTATGATGTCGTACACAATTTTTACGTTATTATTTTTTGTGTTTATCAAACTTGGCAAAATTATAGAGGATAGAGAGAGTACTATCGTTATATTTGAGTAACTTAAGGTTTCAATGAATCATATGGTTGTAATTCTATTATAAAAATATAATTGTAAAGTAATTTAGTAGTGAAAAGTTTTTTTCAAAAGGTACATTTTCTTTCACTTTTACTCATATTGATTATAGATTTATACGTGATGAAAATTAAAATGTCGAGCACTCAAGATGTTGATATATACATGAATAATCGATAGTTGACCTTATTAGAAACAGATTACTAATCATTGAGACTATTATTCTCATTCTTTTCTTTAAAATATTATAAAATGCGGAGCATGATAAGCATGACAAATATGAAACATGGTATTTGATAATCCGATGAAAGTTTATATTTTGTCAAATAAATGTTAGTTTTAATTGCCTTAACATTATTTACTTTATTCCCCCGATGAATTACACACCAAATTAAAATTAGTATCTTGCTTAAATTGCAAACCACTTAAGTCAGTTAAGTGTCACTTGACTTTAACCTGCAGAATGACAATTATTGCTTAAATAGTTAAATCGATAGTAATCATAATTAATCACTTCTTATTTAAATATAGAGGGTGGAAAAAATGATTTCATTTGAATGAAACTGAAATGAGTTTTATGTAACATTGAACCAACTAGATATCAAATATATTTATTCAGTTATTCATTCTATTTAGATACTATGAAGCGACACTCGCATCTTCAACTTTTTTTCTTCGTTCTATAATAAAACTAACAATAACACGGAGTACAACGTAACATCTTTTACTCCGTGCACGACACGGATAAAAATACTAGTCTTTTCTATATAAGAAAGTAATATGCTTATTCTACATGCTATTTCAAAAATAATAAAAACGTAACATTTACGTAAAACACTATTTTATTTAAAGTGGCATAACTTTTTCATTTTTACTCTATTTTTTATAAAAAAAATATAAAAATTCATTTTTACAGTCTTCCATATGACATCAATATTGTATATATAAAATTTTGAGAAATTATAAAGTTTTACATTCCTATTATATATGTCCAATTTAAAAAAATTATTTAAGCGACTTCCCGATTAAATTTTAATCTGAAATTTGGTAGATATGATATAAACTTCATGGAGAACATTCTCACAAAAATTCATCCGAAAGCCCCTCAACAGAAAGAGCCCTAAAATTTTAACTTTTAGGTCTACCTTACATGAACATTTTCCTAGAGAGAGAGAGAGAGAGAGAGAGAGATAGGAATGATCCTGTCCAGCCGGAGAGACATGATCCTCCGTCCGGCCGCCGCCATTTAGGGCGGTTCCCGGTGGAATTTTTTGATGAAAATTTTAGAAAATATTCCTCATCAAGTCTAGTTCATCCAAAAACAAAATCAGCTAAAAATTCGATCGGAAGGCAGTCAAATCATTTTTTGAAGTTGACTGCGCCAAAATATACAAATAAAAACGCAGTCAATTTCAAAAAATGATTTGATTGCCTTCTCGATCGAATTTTGAACTGAAATCTGGTATGGATAAACTAGACTTGATGAGGAACATGCTCAAAAAATTCATCAAAACATTCCACCGAGAACCGCCCCAAACGGCGGTGTTCAGACGGTGTTCGGGCCGGGGGCTGCTGGACATGATCATCTCTCTCTCTCTCTCTCTCTCTCTCTCTCTCTCTCTCTCTCTCTCTCTCTCTCTCTCTCTCTCTCTCTCTCTCTCTCTCTCTCTCTCTCTCTCTCTCTCTCTCTCATGTCCACCCGGCCTGACGGGAACCGCCGTCTGGTCGAGGGCATTTTGGCCACTTCCCGGTGGAACTTTTTGATGATTTTTTTAACAAGTTCCTCATCAAGTCTAGTTTATCCATACCAAATTTCAGCTACAAATTTAATCGGGAAGACAATCACACGACTTTTTGAAAAACACTGCACTGTTTATATATATTAACTATGCAGTGTTCTTAAATAATTTATTTGACTACCTCCCAATTGAACTTTTTGATAAAATTTGGTATGGATAAACTAGACTTGATGAAGAACATTAAAAAAAAATTCATAAAAACAAATCCATCGGGAAGAGTTCAAATAAAAAGTGGTGTTCCCATGCAAAGTGCGAAATTTGCACTTTTTCATGTTTCGCTTTCACTTTTTTTTCGTGTTTCAGTTGTACTTTTTCTTCATTGCGTCTAGTGAAGTGTTGAACAGTACGGTAACCTTAAAGGTCTATAGGAACTCTGTTTTGCCCATTTGGTGGTCACCGATTGGTGGTGCTCCTTTAGAGGTGTGTTTGGAGGCTTGGAGCTATTGATTGATTGTAACTCTTGATTCATTTGGTATTTTAATATAAGTCTAGTTTCTTTAATGAAATGAATATATGTTTGCAGTAATTAGTACATGTAATGTGTGACATAAGCAGTATACGTTGAGCATTAAACAACTAAGCTGCTAACATCCATTTTTCAGGAAAAATGCGGTAGTAAATTTGACAGTAAATTTCAAGTGTCAACACATTGTGGGCATGAATGCGCACTAGACATCTCCGGGTTACTAGCTAACCTATGGCAACGAAATCCATCGATGAAGAAGGAAGTGTTCCGCTCATAACGATACGAACGCCAAATTAATGGAAAGAGTTACCTTCTATTCATTAATTCCTAAATTTTAGGAGGTTTCCGTAATTGAAAGTTGAAACGACGATTATCGCTTAAAAAAGTTACGTCGCATGAAGCTGTGCGAGTGTATTACTTAGCCAGGCCGTTTTATTTTGGAATGAAATAGCAGATCATTAATTAAATGGAAGGAGAGCACTATTGGAATTGAAATAAAAATTAAAAACCATGTGCACAACCGCGAGTGTGCAAATCATACAATGGGAATAAAACTCCATGCGTTCATACTATGAGAAAGGCACACTCTTATAGTGACACATGTGATAATTTTCTCTAAAAAATATATTATTCGGCGAACTTTATCTATTTGAAAATTGTAAATATATTTTAATGAATAGTTACTTTTCTTACTCAAAATTGCTAAAATGAACAAAAATGACGAATCTACCCTATTTTCATGTTCAGAAATGACCCGTTTAAAATAAATTAGGAACACCAATGCTTGTTGTACCCACCCCTTATATCCACCTTTTACCTACCTTTGTGAAGACTATTTTTTTTTTGTTTGTGAGTCACGTTCACAAACAAAATATGTATTATTTTGTCTGTGCAAATTTAAGACATATTTTGTCTTAAACTGAATTTATAGACAAAAAACATGGATGAATACAAAAGTGAATTTAAGAAGGATACAAACATGAATTTTGAATTAGGAAATGCTACTACCGTTTTACGTAGTATTTGAGAAGTTGTTTGTCTTTAAATTATTCAAATTTCAACATCAACTTTATTCAAATTTATGGTTGCCTTTTCTTTTTAGTTTTGCTAAATCTAATTTTGTTGGCCGACGATGGCTTCCCACCCTTCTTTGACGGCAGCGGATCCTCGTGGGAGAGAGGATTGTTCTCCAACTCTGCCCCTAACTTGTCGAAGAAGTGCTTAGTAATCCTAGTCAGATTCACGAGCTTCCGGCGGAATGCCTCGACGGATCCCCCGTCCTCCTTCTCCTCCTCCTCGCGAATTTCAGCGAGCTCTGTCTCTGCACACCGGTGGAGCCTCTCCAGCATACTCTCTGCCTCGCCTTGCGAGTACTCGAACAGTTGCCGTCTCGCCGCCTCATTCTCATCCTCCGGCAGGTAGTACCCGTAGGCGTACGTCCATTTCAGCATTCTCCGGCACTCCACAATCTGCTCCCACGCTTCTTCCACAATTTGCCGCAACGATGTGTTTTGCAGCTGTGAAGAGCATGCGTAAGGTGCGGCAGAGTCCTGCCGCACCTTGCGCAAGTCTGCTACCGCAGTCTTTCTGGATCTGTCGTTGGCTTCCCAGCGCGCGAAGAAATGCATATACTTTTTCCAGGTCAGCTTTGCCTTCTCCTGCATCTTCTCATCATCAGTCAATGCGGTTCCTTCGGCCCTCTCCCACCGGTTGCAGCCGTGATTCTCCCACGATTTCAGGCAGATCCAACAGAATTGGTAACTGCATTAGAAAAGCAAACTCTTTTTTTACATAATTACCCTTAACTTTACCTTTGTTTCCATACAACGACCTTCTTCCATCACTTTAGTAGGGTATTTAGAAAATGGGAAAAGGGGCAAATAAGCCCTCGAACTAACCCAAAAAGTTCAAATCGCCCCTTATATAAGAGGTTCTGCCCGACTGTCGTTATTTGGCGAGGTTCCTAGTGGAAATTTTTGATGAATTTTTTAAGCATCTTCTTTATTAAGTCTAGTTTACCCATACCAAATTTTAGATAACAATGCAATCGGAAAGGAAGTCAAATGAATTCTTGAAGATAACTGCGCAGTTAAACAACGCAATATATTACAGAAAATCATTTGAATGTCTTCCCGATTTTATTTTTAGCTGAAATTTGGTATGAGTAAACTAGACTTAATGAAGAAGATGCTCAAAATATTTCATCAAAAAATTCCACCAAAAACCGCCCCAAATGGCGACGGCCGTACAGAACCTCCTATATAAGGGGTGATTAGCATTTTTGGGTTAGTTCGAGGGCTTATTTGCCCATTATCCCTTATAAAATTAAACGGTTTCTGAAATTGATACTCCATATCAAAATTTATAACTTTACCTTAAGTACTACTCCCTCCGTTTCACACTCAAAGTCACACTTTGATTTCACAAAGATTAAAGATTTTTTTTACTAAGAGGTAAGTTTTACTGTTGAGTACACCGTTTTGATACTGTTTGACACTATTTCGCACTGTTTTGTACTGTATTGATATAGATTTCTTTCCTAAATGAAACGTAAAGGGAAGTGTGACTTTTATTTTGGCACATTCAAAAAAGGAAAGTGTGATTTTGATTGCGAAACGGAGGGAGTGCGAAATTGGGAATGTTGTGTTCCGAATCATTTTGCTTTTTATTTGTACTCCAATTTTTACAAAATATATATCAAAATTTATAATTTTTATGATCTTTCATACTACATACTTCGTATAACACTAATATTGCACATATAAAATTTAAAATAAAATTTGAGGTTTCAATAACAAGAGATTTTCAGATTTTTTTCCTTGGATAGTAATGCTCTATTGGCTCGTAAATATTACAAATAATTTATGGGTTATTATAATGATGTTTTTACTTGAACTATAATTTGTTGGTCTAGTCTGAACTGATCTGGTATGATCTCTTTGTATTTTTATAACTATCCAAATCTGACCTGGTTTGGTCTATTCTGGCTTGCGACAAATTACAGTCCAAGTAAAAACATCCTACGTCACTAGAGTATTTTGAGAAATTTTTAATAGTTGATATTATTTTGAAAAATTTATACTTTGGATTATTTCAAACAAATCACTAATAGAGATTAGTGTTTCTAGGGAGTACTTCTTGTCATATCTATAAATCTAAAATCTAAAACAAAAAAGAGTTCTTAAAGTAAAAAACAAGTTATGTTCCAATCTGCTCTTTAACAAATTCTAATTTTTACTCAATTGATTAAAAACAAACTCCACCCTTGCATTAAAAAAAATACTCCGTAACTAAAAATAATTGTGGCAAAAAAGATCTACTGTTGTTTTATTTAGCTGGGTGGCCGGTTTAATCAATTGAGCTGTTGGGTTGTTTTGGAACGTAAGTAATAATTACAGTTAGTTTGGCTTGTGTACTAAAAAAAAGAAAAAGTAAATCTAAGTTTAATGAATTCTTTTATACTTCCAACTTTTAGCTTTAAAATTCTTAATTTCAATAAAAATAGTTGTCCAAAGGTATCATTTTAAACTTTTTTTTTTAAGCTAAAACCCGAAAATACATTTTTAAGCCATGCAAAACGCTCCCTACTTAATCTAGTCCTAGATACTACGTATAAGACTAGAAATAGTTCTACGGTGACGCTGTAAAATACTCCCTAAGTAATCAAAGACACCACCGTTTTTTTCTAGTTGTAACGTTTTCATTTTCATGTTTGCCAATATACATTTATGATCATTGAGATATTTTATTCGTTATAAGTATCACCTCTGTCCCAAATTGATTTACATATTTGACTTTTCTTGGTCAAACAATTTCATATAATTTGCTTAATTGGGATGTCAATTTTTAATTACTCCATATATTCTAATTTAGAGTTTGCAATTAATTTCGAAGAGATTTTAATATAGTTTCTGAATATGTAATTTTTAATTATGAAAAATTAAGTTAATTATCAATAGGGAGGATTGACTTTTATTATTGGTTGACCCACATTTTTTTGCTGACTTTTATTATTGGTTGACAAAAAAATGTTGACTTTGCAAAACAATTTGGGACGAAGAAAATCCCATATGTTTTTAGTTCCAATTTAGGAACCAATTTGGGAGATGTCAGTTCCATATTTCAGCCGTCGAAGTGTGGTTGGTTTGATCTGTCTGTGACTATAACTGAAAACATCTCTAGTAAAAAGATTAGTTTAGATTTGGAAAATTTGAAAGAGATGAATTTAATGATTAGTTTAGGGGTGTACTTACTGGCAGGGAGCAATGCAGGTCATGTGCATGCATCCATTGTTCTTCTCGATAGCGCGTTTACACCTGGGACAAGGCTTGGAGTTGGCCAGAATCCAATTCAAATTCTCCGACTCGGAGGTGGCCTTCACCATCCACCTCCGCACGGTGTCGCAATCCACCGGGTGGTGGCTGTCCTCCGTGCACTTCCAGCAGAACGCGGTCGTGCACTCGCACTCGACGCCACAGTTCTCCGTGTTCCACGTATCGAATTTCACCGCGTAATCGCACCCCGGCCCCGGACACCATTTGATTATCTGATTCTGCTCCACGTAGGATCGGAGGAGAAATCGCCGGTACTTAATTTTGTCCTCATCTCGGGCGACGGACTCCAAAATCTCTTCCGGCACCGCGGCGTTGCAGTCGACCTCGGGGCAGCGGAGCCGGAAGAGAGAGCCCGGTCCATCGCTGATCAATGAATGAATCCACGATTCGAAACAACCGACGCAGAAAACATGGCCGCAGCCGCAGGATGCGACGGTTTTTAAGCCGAGAGGGTAGTTGTCGAAGCAAATTTTGCAACGGAATTCGTCGTTTTCCGGAAATCGGATCTGGGAGATTTGGTCTACCGGCAGCAATCCCGCCGCTTTTCGGACCCTTTCCTCATCGGAGAACCAGTTCTCCAGCACTCTGCTCACGCTCCAATCGTGCATGAGTAACAAAACGCGAGCCTCCCCTCTCGGCAGGTAAAGTGCGCTGGAGATTTCGTTGACGTCATCTTCCTGGAGAAGCCAAATTTCTTCTTCCTTCAAGAGACTGTAATCGATCTTCCCACTACTATCTGCGCCAATATCGTCGTCAAATTCGAGATTATCATCGAACTTGGAATAAGCCATCGTCGTGGCTGAAATGTCAAATTAAACCCTAAACAGAGCACAGTTGAAACAATCAAACAATTATGCAGGTAATTTAACAGAAATTTTATAGAGCACGTTATGTGCTCCTTAGAGAGCACGAGTCCGCTTTAGAACCCTTGTATAAACAGGGATGGATTTAGGGGCGTGGGGGGCGACCGCCCCCCCGGACTTTCAAAATTTTCTACCATATATGTAATATTTTCATAAAATTTTCATAATTTAATTAGATTCGCCCCCCTTAGCTTTTAATTTTCAAAAGTAATATATAGTGTTACATAATGTAATACTTAATTGAATATTTAAAAGAAGGAACATCTAAAATAATTACATAACTTAAACAAATAAACAATAGAATAACTCGTTGTTTAAGATTTAGGATACTTATTATATAAGAATTCCTAGTTTTGTAATGTTTAATTATTTTTATTAGAAAACAAGTACTTGATTTTGTAAAATATATATCAAATAATATTAAATATCAGACACACTAATTACACAGTTTTTAGATCACGTGAAATGAATCCAAAATATAAATGTTTATTGACATTGAATTACATAATTCATTTACTTCTTGATTTCTAAAAATAATTTATCGCATAGATAATAAACTTTAAATTATTATAGCATTAATACAAATATTAAAATATAATATGCATAATATATGTGTGTGTGGTGCATACTATTCTAAAAATAATAATATCATACATACTAGTATTCTAATATTAAGAAAATTTCTCATGAGTCATGACTCACGAACACCCTCCTTGGTCGCCGGACAAAAATTACTAATCAATAATAGCCTATTCATGAGGTTAAACAATGTAGAAGTTATTAAAAATGTATTGGTTGGTGTCTTTGTCATCATCTAATTTAAACTTAGAATGTACAACTTAATAGATTTAAATGTCGTTGGGAATGTGTATGTATTAATGTCATTTTTTGAATAAAATTAGCCGCATAGCCCTACAGTAGTGGAAAAAATTCGCCCCGCTACACTAGGGGAAAAAATTCGACCCGCTACACTAGGGGAAATTTTTTTCACTCCCTACACTACCGAAAAATTTCGCCTCCCTTGAATAGAAATCTTGGATCCGTCCCTGTGTATAAAAGCCCATACGGTTGCCTCAAGACTAAACATTATGAGGTTTTATTATTATTATTATTATTATTATTATTATTATTATTATTATTATTATTATTATTATTATTATTATTATTATTATTATTATTATTATTATTATTATTATTATTATTATTATTATTATTATTATTATTATTATTATTATTATTATTATTATTATTATTATTATTATTATTATTATTATTATTATTATTATTATTATTATTATTATTATTATTATTATTATTATTATTATTATTATTATTATTATTATTATTATTATTATTATTATTATTATTATTATTATTATTATTATTATTATTATTATTATTATTATTATTATTATTATTATTATTATTATTATTATTATTATTATTATTATTATTATTATTATTATTATTATTATTATTATTATTATTATTATTATTATTATTATTATTATTATTATTATTATTATTATTATTATTATTATTATTATTATTATTATTATTATTATTATTATTATTATTATTATTATTATTATTATTATTATTATTATTATTATTATTATTATTATTATTATTATTATTATTATTATTATTATTATTATTATTATTATTATTATTATTATTATTATTATTATTATTATTATTATTATTATTATTATTATTATTATTATTATTATTATTATTATTATTATTATTATTATTATTATTATTATTATTATTATTATTATTATTATTATTATTATTATTATTATTATTATTATTATTATTATTATTATTATTATTATTATTATTATTATTATTATTATTATTATTATTATTATTATTATTATTATTATTATTATTATTATTATTATTATTATTATTATTATTATTATTATTATTATTATTATTATTATTATTATTATTATTATTATTATTATTATTATTATTATTATTATTATTATTATTATTATTATTATTATTATTATTATTATTATTATTATTATTATTATTATTATTATTATTATTATTATTATTATTATTATTATTATTATTATTATTATTATTATTATTATTATTATTATTATTATTATTATTATTATTATTATTATTATTATTATTATTATTATTATTATTATTATTATTATTATTATTATTATTATTATTATTATTATTATTATTATTATTATTATTATTATTATTATTATTATTATTATTATTATTATTATTATTATTATTATTATTATTATTATTATTATTATTATTATTATTATTATTATTATTATTATTATTATTATTATTATTATTATTATTATTATTATTATTATTATTATTATTATTATTATTATTATATTATTATTATTATTATTATTATTATTAGTTTATAAAAATAAGAGCACTCACATTTTTTTAAAGAGCACTCACATTATATTCATGGTAAAACGTTGTTTTCTCGTGTAAGTTACGTTTTTCGAATAAAAAGTAACGAATCCACTTATTTCTGCCGCTTCCGTTATTGCTGCTGGCTTGGCCGTAGGACTTGCTTCTATTGGACCCGGAATTGGTCAAGGGACCGCCGCGGGTCAAGCTGTAGAGGGGATCGCGAGAGAGCCTGAGGCAGAGGGAAAAATATGAGGCACTCTATTGCTTAGTCTAGCTTTTAATATATGGATTATTTAGGATGTTTTTACTTGGACCGTAATCTGTCTCAGACCAGATTAAACCAACTAGTTTAAATTAAATACTTTAAAAATGATTTTTCATTTGTAATTGGACCAACATACCCTTATCGGATTTTTTTTCAAAAATTACATGGTGATCCATGATCCGCTAGAAATTCGTTCTCCACCGCTGTTGTTGTCGTCGTCGGAGGCCTACGCCGCCGACAGAACTTGTCACCATCACTACCAGAGTTTGTTGCTTACCACCAAGACTGATTTGGGTATACAACGAAAATAGGGGTCATTAATTAGGGGTAGAAATGGATTGATTAGTCATATATTTAGCTAAAATCAAACAAATGATCTTATTTTTTTGTAAAAAAACTACATTTTAATCTTAGTCTGGACACTTTGTCATTTAATTATGTACTTTTTTAATTATACGAAGTCCACAATAGGACTAAAATATAGTTTTCTTTCGAAAAATATGACCTACTAGTTTAAAATACCTTAAATACAACTTTTTATTTGTGGTTAGACCAAAATACCCTCATAGGCCAGGCTTTAGCACTGTTGTCCCCATGCCGCCAAACGGCCACTTGTTGTCGGAAATTTTTTTTGCATGTGGATGTTTTTACTTGGACTGTTTTCAGTTCCAGACCACATCAGATCAGACCAGACCAGACTTGGATATTTATAAAATATACAGAGACAAAACATTACCAGACCAATCCAGACAAACCAGAACAAATCAGGCCAGACCACACCAAAAAAATATAGTCCAAGTAAGAACATTATGAGCTTCCAGAAATTCGTTGCCACCGTCGGCTTCCACCATTACAGATTGATCCTTCACCAACGGATTGTCTTGATTATGCAAGGGAACAGGGGGATTAATTAAGTTAATTGATTAGTTAACTAAATCAGGGTAGAAATAAAATGATTAATCCTATTTAATTTAGAGAAAATCAAACATATAATCCTATTTTTGAAAGAAGGCCATTTTTATTCTTATTTTAGGCAATTTTCTCTTAAACAATCTATGGTATAGAGGAAATATAATTCGGAAATATTTTATTCAACTATTTGTGTCTAAAATTAAAGATTAACTTGATTAAATATAATCTTACAAAAAAATTCTTGAGATATTACCCAAAATGGGACTAAAAAAGTTTGGAAATTTCAAAATAGGACTTCCATGTTTTTATTCCCAAAATAGGACTAATTACTGTCATGTTTTGGCAGTATCAGAATTCAAACATGGCAATATTTTCCAAATTTGGCAGTAATTAGTCTTATTTTGGGAATAAAAACATGACAGTCCTATTTTGGAATTTTCAAACTTTTTTAGTCCCATTTCGGGAACTTTCCCAAAATTCTTTTGTCGACACTTCTAGTATGTACTACGTAGTATATTTTACAAGTGACTAAATAACAAATACTCCTTCACTAAATAACAAATACTCCTTCACTATTTTTTTTTCTTCAGAGAAAAAAAATAACAAATACTCCGTACACTATATTAAAATGATAACGATCGTAGGTTGGGCCTCAAAGCTCACTTAATTATAAACGCATCCTGTGCCAGATTTGATTAATTACGTGCATTTTAAAATTTTCGGGTAATTTATACGGGATGTGTAAATTATTTAGGACTTTAATTAGTTAAATACTCCCTAAATATATGGATCGATTACTTTAATTTATTTACGTTTGCGTGAAGAAAAGCAATCACAAACTTAACGGATGCTTGAAGTGAGGCGGCAAAGCAATCAATAAAAAAAGGAATCGACCAGTTTCCCTTGGTTGTAACAATCCAGAGTCCCTATATCGTACACCCGGTTGTACGTACATCCAGCCCAATTATTAAATTTGACTGGTGGGCTCCTTCACTAAAAAAAGTTAAAAACCCCAACGGGATTCGATCCCGCGACATGAAGTAGGATAAGCGGCCTTACAACCATCTCACTAACTTGTCTTGTTGAGATAATCGGTTAATTTATTTTACTTATCCTATATAGTTTCATACTGCGTATTATTAATAGTAATTATAATATTAACTATTCTTTTTTTTTGCTCATTATTACTATATTAAAAGACTAATTCATATTTTTGAAGTATTTATTTGATCTATGTATCATACTATTACTTTATATAAATATGTTTATAATTTTTTTATATGGTGTTAGTGAGATGAAAATCACGACTTCTGGAGATTGAGTAATAATGAACTTTTAATGAGCACCAGACCTATTCTGTTGAGCATACTGAATATACAAATTGATATTTAAGCATACTCGAGATTTTAAATGAACTTTTAAATTTTTTCTATGCTCATTTCGTAAATTAGATATGCTCATTTGATATTGGTGTAATGCTCATTTTAAAATGAGCATTACACGAGACAACTTAAATGTCATATCCATGCATATTGGCGTAATGCTCATTTTGAACTTTTTGATACTCATTTCACGTTTTATATATTCACATTTAATATTTGAGCATCAAACATCCGCTATTGAGATGAAATTCACGGTTTCTAGTGAATGAGCAATAATAAACGTTTAATGAGCATCATACCCATTCTGTTGAGTATTAGGAGTCTAATATTGAGAATTTTGATCTCCGCTTCATAACTTCTAATTCACTTTCTTTTTGTTATTTTTTCTTTTATTAAATTTTATTAAATTATATTTAGGGATCCCTTATATTTATAATCAACTCCTGTGAAATTCAATATGTGAATTAATGTAAAATAGTACTTTAAAAAATGCATCGATATGACATTTAGAAAATGAGCATAAAATCTCTACCTGATGAGCATACGTAACTTACAAAATGAGTATTAATGAATTTGTTAGCTGCTTTGTTATTTGAACATCACGACATTTTCATTGAGTATCAAACATCCTTTATTGAGATTGATGATAATCATGATTTCTGTAAAATGAGCATTAATGACTTTTTAATGAGGATTCGACCTATACAAATGAGCATGCGTAACTTACAAGATGAGCATCGATATGAACATACATAACTTTCAATGTGTACATTGATATGAAAATCTTAAGAGTTGTTAGTTGAACATCATGACATTTTAATTGAGCATCTAACCTCCACTATTGAGAGGAAAATCACGACTTCTAGAGACTGATTAATAATGAACTTTTAATGAGCATCAAACCTATTCTGTTGAGTAGTAGGAGTCTAATATTAAAATATAATATGACATTTGAAATATGCATTGATTTGACATTTTAAAAATGAGCATAAATGAGTATAAATTGAGCATATGTTACTTACAAAATGTGCATTGATAAGTTTTTTTAATTGAGCATCAAGACATTTTCATGAAATTGTAAAAATGAGTATTACATCAGTATCAAATGAGCATACATAACTACAAAGTGTACATTGATATGAAAATCATAAGGTTTGTTAGTTGAACATAATGATATTTTAATTCAACATCAAATCTCTACTATTAAGATGAAAATCACGATTTTCGTTGAATGAGCACTAGTGAACTTTTAATGAGCATCAGACCTATTATGTTGAGTATTAGGAGTTTAATAATCTTTAAAAATGCATTGATATGACATTTAGAAAATTAGCATAAGATCATGAGCATATGTAACTTACAAAATGAACATTGATTTGAAAATCATATTTTTTTTGGTTGAGCATGAAGACATTTTCATTAAACATCAAACCTCATCTATTGAGTATTAGAAACATGCAATTGAGTGTCTATAATGAACTCATACGTGAATCTAATGTAATAAGATACTTTTGAAATATACATTGATATAACCTTTCAAAATGAGCATAACACTAGTCCTAAATGAGCATACACAACTCACCAAATGAACAATGTTACGAAAAACGGAAGGTTTGTTAGTTGAGTATCAAAACATTTTCATTGACAATCATAACTCTTTTATTAAGTATTAAAATCATGCAATTCAGTATCATGATTTTTGCTCCCGTGTCTATAATCAACTCTTATACAAATGAGTAAATGACCAAATGTAATGTAATATGACAATTTTGAAATTATGTGTACAATTCTCCGATCCCTTTGGGCATTATACACTTTTAAGTTTAAGATAAAATGCATCTCATTAATTCACATCTACTAAAGCTTCTCCTGCAATTTTGCCGGTGTGTTTAGTCGGCAGAAGTCCTGAACAGAGCTGCCATTGACAAGAACGAAACACATATAAAGCTCACACCTAAAAGTCTATTGCATCATGTTCCATCAATATAGTGTTTCTTTTATTGCTATTGTATAAATGTTCATCTCCTCACATCTAAATTGTTTGCAGAAGAAGATTATAATCTATCATGGAAGAGGACATGTCCAACCATCATCGGTGTCAGACCAACACTGTACTCAATTTCTCGCCACCGCCAGCGACGGCGGTACAAATACTGATCATTCCGCTTCACAGGAGGTGGCCACATAGAGATTCAATCGGTTCGATTGGAATAGCAGGTCAGCGAGAATCACCGGTCAAAGTTAATTACGTGAGGTAGAAAAGGAAAGCAAGCGGACATACCATCACCCTCACTGTTGCAGATAATTACAAAAAAAAAACGGATGTACCATCCACATGGTACATCCGGATGTATAATATAATTTACCAACAATCCATCAAATTTTCGAGCTTTACCAAACCCTAATTAACATCTCGGGGAGAAGGAAAACATCGATCGAGTCATGGAAACGAGGTCAAAGAGGAGAAGAGCTGTTAATCCTGGAGCAGGGGAAGCCATGATTGATGCTAATCCAGAGTGCCCCAAATGGTTGGGGGGGGGGGGGTGGCTATGAAGACGTATTGATGGAAATACTAGCTAGGCTACCAAATAGTCGAAGTGCAATTTCTGCAGGCTTGGTGTGTCGCCTTTGGCATTCCATCATCTCTCAGCAGCAGCAGTTTATTCCCAGGTTCTTAGGCCTCCGGGAGCAAAAGAAGAAAGAGCAGCCTTATTCCATCATATTCCGCATAGTAGACAATTCTTTTGTTGCAGATGAGTATTATCAGCCCATCTGCAAACTATTTTCGGAAGAATCTGCAGTTCTCCACGGGGGAAGGAAGGAGGAGACGGGGACGTCATGTCAAAGGTATCCTCCTTTACGCCGCGGCAGCATCAGGCCACGGCCTGCGCCCAACATGGTCATAAGAGCATCTTGCAGCGACTTGCTGTTGTTGTAGCATGGCTCTCGCAACGATGGGGTTAAGCCAAACTCCTTCTATCTTTGTAACCCAGTAACCAAACAGTGGTTCCATCTCCCCCGTGTTGATTTCGATGGTTACTTACTTGGGTTTGCAGTGGTACGCATGCCACAGCCCCCCACCCATAATGGCTGTGGCAGTTATGAATACAAGGTTGCTTTCATTCATTTTCCCGATCTTGGTCGCGATGAAGATGATGATGCAGACACTTGGGATTTTAGAATGTCAATTTATTGTTCAAAAACCAGACAATGGAGTGTGGACTCATGGTTTCGATATCCTGTACCTATCAGCAGGGAACCTAGGTTTTTCATTAGCCCAATCACCTGCAATGGAACTATTTATTGGTTCAATTGTGATAAAGTTCCTGACAAAGTCATTGCCTGTGATTTGGTGAACAAGCCCTACTCTACTGCCATTATCAACCTTCCTGAAGGCTCTGTGCCTGGTGGTTGGGGTGTTGTTTCTATAGAGTTGGGTGTTGTCATGGGAGAACTGAGATTATTCAACGTATTTCACCCATTCTTGGTTGACCAACAACAACCTCAGCATCTCGTTGTTGTGAAAGTTTGAGAGTTGAATCACAGAACCAATGTCTGGACTCTCGTTCATGACACACACTTCAATGATAGGCCGCTGCCGTCTAATGGCATCCAAGTAGAAGAAGACGAAAACAAGTTCAAGATCCGTACAGTTGCTTTCCATCCACACGATGGGGACGCAGTCTTCTTGGTATGCGGCTGTGATGTTTTCCAGTATCACATTTCACAGGGTGTGTATGAGAAAGTCGATGAGCTCTGTGGTGTTTTCCGGTATCGCAATTCATGGGGTTCTGTGTATAAGAAAGTCGACGACGTCCTTCATCCCGTGCCTCCAAATGTGCTTCTTACATCCTTCACTCTCCTCCACTCTGTTTGGCCCACCACCATGTTGTTCTCTCCTTCAGAATAGAATAGTAATTGTTACTCCCTCCGTCCTAAATTGAGACACAAATTTGACTTTTGGGGTCAAACAGTTTGATTTTATTCCCTTAATTAGAATATCAATTTTTATGCAAATTTTAATTTGGAGTTTGCAACTTTACAAATATTTTAATGTAGTATATTCGACTCTCTGTTACTGTGTGCACACTCACATACTACATATCTTATTGTGAAACAGTTATGAACTTATTGGTTTGGGAGTTTAATCTTGAACATGAGGGTTTTCAACATTTGCACCCTTTGTTCTTAAAAAAACTTAACGGATTAGAGTTATGCTAGAAGTAAATGTATTATTATAAATTGTGTTGCAACAGATTTATGTGGCAATATATATGAAATATCATTTAACACATCGCATCACTTTTATATCAAATGTAATTATAATTTAATAGCGGTGTCACCTGTTTCTATTTCACCTGTTTGTATGTTTTTGTAAATTTATTTGTAGTTGTAGCATTTTCCTTGATGAAATATAACTGAATGTAACTGTTGGGCCTACAAGCATATGGCGCTTGACCAATATCAATATACACACACACACATATATATATATATAGAGAGAGAGAGGGAGAAATGATCAGGTCCATCCGGAGGGACGGGAGGTGCCGTCCGAACTCTACTGTTTGGGGTGATTCCCGGTGGAATTTTTTGATGAATGTTTTTGAGCATATTCCTCATCAAGTCTAGTTTATCCACACCAAATTTCAGGTCAAAATTCGATCGGGAAGGCATTCAAATAAATTCTTGAAACATACTGCACAGAAGGATGAGGAACATGCAAAAAAAAATTCATCAAAAAATTCCACCGGGAACCGCCTCAAACAGTAAAGTTCGGACGGAGCCTCTCGTCCCTCCGGATGGACCTGAGCATTTCTGTATATATATATATCGAGTAACTATGGGGTCTATAATTATAAACTTAGGTCTTTTACCCTTATTTAAGTATTTCTAATACCGGTAATATAAACCACGAAGAAAACAACAATCAATTAAGATTTGTGTTACTCCTTCCATCGGATTGTCCTTTTATAATAGAATTTTGAGTCTTAAAATGGTAACAAGGTCAAACATCTCAAAATATCTCAAAACATGTGGGGGTTGATCTTATGACCTTGAGAAAAAACATCTCAAACATATTGAGGAAGAAATGACTCATGACTTTCTCATGGGTTAGATGAAGATGGATTCTGGCACTCTAACATTCTGAGTTTGAACATTCTGAGTTTGAGCATCTACCAGCATTCTCAAAAGTAAGAACAGTACAACCTTTGGTGGCTTGGTGCCCGCGGTAGAGAACAAATGAAACATTATCCGCTGTTTGTTAACCGCTATCCACTAAATCCAAATGCACCACATAGAAACATCTAAATCTATCAGCTCAACTCTCTCTCACTAAGTTGAATTAATATTTAAACTTGGACAAAGAGTTGATTCAAAACCCGAGAGGGTTAATCCCAGTTACACGTTGATCTTGTTCACTAATTAATATTACATGGAAAATCGTCCTCTGCCAATTATGGAGCAACAAACTAAAGTAAAGACTGCTACACGAACTTAATTAGAGTGGGAATTAATTGGCTACAACTAACTAACTAACACTACAAATTAAAGCAGACAAAATAAAATTAAATAATTAAGTCTGGAACTAGATAGCTAGCGTGAAAAATTGAAGTAATTAAGTAGCGTGATTAATTGGAAGGAACATGATAGTATTTCCCTCTGCAGGAGCATCGGTAAACAACGGGGCAAGACTCAGCAGCTGCGCACTTGAAGCTGACCATGACCCTCTTGCATGGAGAGCAGGGCCCACATGCATGGGTACAGTCTGGACGGGTGGACCCCCCTGTTCCATACACCAGCTCCCCCTTCCTCACTTCATCCTGCATGCATCCCAATATTTTGAATTAGTTTTTATGCCATTTTTTAATCATTCAGGATGTTTTTATTTACACTGGAATTTGATATCATTAATCAAGAAAAATGCATTTCTTTTTGGGACGAAGTGGTATTGACAAAGCTAATGTTTTTGTCAATGAGTGTTAAAGTTACATTCTTCCTATTGACAATTAATTCAATTTTAACTATTAAAATTTACATATTCAGAAATTACATAAAAATCTATATGAAGTTATAAAGTTTATATTCTATTTAGTGAATAAAATAAATCGATTTAATAAAAAAATTACAACTCGATCAATTCGAGACGGAGGCAATATGAGATTAGGCCGGATAATGGGAGGAGGCTTGTGCACGTGTAGATAGCCAAAATATGCGACAAACCTGTTGAGCCTTATTATCTGCGGGCTGGTCACCGTTGTGAAGTCCATTCCCTTGGTAATGAGCAACTGAAATGTATATGTGGTAAGATATATATATAATCAGTACTGATAAGCATTTGAGAGATACTAGTATATAATAATAACAATAGAAATTTGATCATCAACTTTTAGCATTTACTAGCTTGCATATACTCAGTATTTCAAATGCATATGCTCTTTTTGGGAGATTTATCCCTAATAAAAACAATGTCATTTTCTTAAAATAGGATCTAATGTTTAAAATTCCATAAATATGACCACATTTGACCAACTGCATATTTTTATAGGAAGTTATTGATGATATAAAAATGACATGAAAACGTTCTTCAATAAAAACACTTTCACAAAAGCATAAATTTATAAATTTTACAAAAATACATTGATCAAAATTGCTAAATCAAATCAAAGATGATAAACACTGCATTTTAAGGGGCATAGAGTATTGGTATATACTTCCTCCGTTCTTTTTTAGTTGCAACGGTCAACATTTCACACTTGCCAACGCACGTCTTTGACCGTAATCATATCTTAATCTCTATTAGTAAAAAATATTTAAAAATTAGATTTTGAAAATTCATAATGAGATGAATTGAACAATATTTTTTTAAAAAAATAATTTTCATAAAATAATAATATAAAATGTAGTCAAAGTAGAACATGTGAATAGTGTAAAATTCAATATGTTGCGATTAAAAAGAGACGGAGGATAGTATGTAGCAAGTAAAAACATACTGTATGTCTGTATATGCATGCAAGAACTTGTATATATATATATATACATAGTATATATACTCACAGTGAGATGGTCTAAGGGTGTGGGTAGTGGGGAGTAGCCAAAACCCCACAGTCATGAGAAGAAGTAAAACAGCACCATTACACCTCAATCCATTTCCAATTACCATCATGATCGATCAATCCCTCTTAATAATCAGCTTTTGGGCCTTTAATTTTATGTATAATAAAAGACACGTTACGTTTGTGAGAATGAAGAGTTAGCTATCTAGCTTGGCCAAAAAACTTTTTTTGCAGCTATATATATAATGGGGGTGGGGGTGCATGGAGATGAATTAATAAATAAATAATGGGTATGGTGGACTTTTATAGAATGAGGTCACAAGAAATATGGTCGGATTGGATATATAGTAGAGGTTTTTAATGTGTACGTACTGGCTTGCATGCAGTACTTACATTATCTCCTGAATTTCACATGATACTTGGCTGAGTTTTCAAAGACTCACAAGTTTTCTGACTCAACCAGAGTTAATTTAATGCTCCCCGGCTGCCGGCAGTCCCCTTCTTTTGTGGCCGGATAAACCATACTTAATTAAATACGGAGTATGCATGAGAAAATCAGGAAAAGATAAGATATAGCAGCTGGCCGGACAATCGGTTAATGTTATTGGATTCAATTAAATAGGTACGGCCACGGGCAATTCAATTTCAGCTAAATAGACTAATCAATTGTTTCATGTCTCCCCGTCAATAAGCTGCCATTTGCAGCCACACCACAACTGTTATGTTGTGCAACCATGAAACATTTAGGCTGATTGTCATTTGTCATAGTGACGTTTGTGGCCAAAATTTGGTTAAATGAATAAAAGTGTCAATTTGATAATACTAAACAGGCTAAATTTGGGTAATCTCAGTGTCAATGATTAAAAGTCTCTCTCTCACAATATCTGAAGGTCTGGAAATGAAAAAAAAATTAAAGTCGAATGACAGAAGTGTCATTGACACAATACGGATGTTTTTACTTGGACTGTAATTCATCCCAGACCACATCAGATCAGACCAGACAAGTTCAGACCAGACCAGATTTGTATAGTTACAAAAATAGAAAGAGACCAGAATTACCAGGCCAGTTCTGACCAGACCAGCAAATTACAGTCCAAGTAAAAACATCCTAGTACATCAAAGAACTGAAAATGGTAAAAAGATCACATGGAAAAACTTTTGAAATTTGGTTCATGTAAACTTGTTTGGTTCAAGTTTTTCATATACTAACAGCTAAGTAAACATATATCCCCATGTAGGAATATTAGGTAGTGCTATAAAAATACTCAAATACATTATCTAAGTAATCATATTAAGGACTGATCATTCTAGTCTAAAAGCAATTCTCCATTCTCTCTGAAATTCAAAAACTTAAAATGTCTCTCTTGTATTGTAAGAATACAAAATTACATGGGCTTCCAAAGTTATCCTTAACAATTTAAGGATACAATTTCACATATGTGACATGTTAACCAAACAGGTTAAGGTAAGTAAAACACTCCCGAGATGAACCTTTCATGAGTCAAACATTCCCTAATGTGATGCCAAGCAGTCCCCGGATAATCAAACATACATACTTTCATGAACATACATTTTTCCTAAATATATTTGTGTCCCCTGTCAAAACTAAATCGGACGGATGGAGTAGTATTAAGGTCGATGGACTTTTACTTACTATTGTAATAAGTCATGTCCGAATTGAGATATCTGTTTATATTAAGATACATGTCTAGATTAATCTTTAAATATGGACTGTTTATTTTGTATTTAGAATAAACAGTCTGAACCGGATAAAATAATCAATTCCATATTGGGTATAAAATTAGCTAAATAAATGTCTGTTCAGGTGTATCAATGGGAAGGACTGAAAGAGTTTTCCATGAATGAAGAAGCTGTGTTTTCGAACAAGTTATAAATAAACAGGACTCAATGATTGAATGGTTAAGTCAATTTAATCACAAGTAAACATCCCAAGTCCACTACACTAACTGACTGAAGGAGAGCATAATCTATATTCTATAATACTGAGACGAAGTTTATATTCACGAGACACAACAAATTTACATCTACCAATGGTTATCTAGAGCTCTCTAAGTTGAGCCTTACAGAGTTGTAGTTGAGCTCACTGGGCACCATCCGCTACCTCAGATTGTGTCCTGACTGCTTCTCATTATCTGTCAGTTGGCAGCTCATTCGGAACTCCCATCAAATAATATAACTCAGGACCTCCCATTAGTGATAACTTTCATCATCAGCAAGACACTTTAGCAACCATAACTAAAAAGGTGCTGTTCTTTTATGGGTCATTGGGTCCTCCGTTCAGATCCCAGAAAATGCTGTGGAAAAACAGGAAAGAAAACTGAGAAAATAGGAAGAAAATAAAATATGGCCGTAATCCAATACATTTTTCTGTGATATTTCCTGATACTCATTTTATTTATTTATAGCTGTTATATGAAGAAAAGATAATTCTAAAAATATACGTATGTAAAAAAGAATATCAAACAAATAATCATATTTCATTTCCATTTGCATTTCCAGAGATAATACTAAACAACATAATAGAATTCTTTCTTTAGCAATTTCTTTTCTTTACATGGCATTTTATGGGATCCAAACATACCGTATAAGGTATAGGCCAATCAGTCACATGAGAAAATACAATGAACACACACAGCTTACTTCAATTGAATCTCTTCCTTTTCTTCTGATGATGCCTGCCACCAGAGAGAGAGCCAATGGTGTACTTCGAATTAGACAGCTCGGGCGGAATGGAGGCTCCAGACGATTTGAGGGTATCAACCAAATCTGGAAATAGTTTCTTATTTTCCTCATTAACGAATACGATTGATTCACCTTCCTCTCCCATTCTAGACGCTCTTCCAATCTGATGCACATACTCCTTAATGGAATTTGGCATGTCAAACACTATCACTTGTTTTACACACAGCAGATCAACTCCTCTACCCAACACCCCAGTGGCAACCATAACAGGCACGTCGCCTGCCAAAAACGACCCTAGAATCTCCCTCCTCTCCTTCATTGATTTCTCACCATGAATGGAAAGAGCTTTCAGTCCTGTACATATTGTTATTGCCTCCGAAAGGAGATCTGCACCAAGTCTAGAACCAACAAATACTAAAACTGGTGGCTTAAAATGCCGCTTGCTCGTTAAAACATCAAAAAGCTTTTGCTTCTTTTGTTTTGACTCCACCCAGATGGCAAGCTGTTTCACGGCTCCATTAGGCTTGTTCAGCTGCCCAACTGACAAAATAGTCAAATGCTTTGCCATGGAGTTTGCCATTTTCTCCACCTCTCTTGAAACGGTAGCAGAATACATCAGTAGCTGAGGTTGAAACAGTGCCCTAAATATCTGCATTACTTGCTCATGGAATCCTCTTTGCAGCATACAGTCTACTTCGTCAAGAACTAAAATAGAAACACTGTCTAATTCAATCTCATGATGCTTAGTCAGAAGATCAATTAACCTACCAGGAGTACCAATAACCAATGAAACTCCTTTTTCAATACGAAAGAGCTGTGGAGCCATTGCATCACCACCCACAATCAATGCAGTCTTGAAAGGCATGCCCTTCCCCAACACCTTAGCATGATCTTCTATCTGTATACAGAGCTCTCTAGTGGGCGCAAGAACCATACTGTATGGTTTTTGCTTCCTCTCATGACAAGCTAGATTCATTTTCACACAATTTGCAATGATAGGAATTAGAAAAGATCCTGTTTTCCCAGAACCAGTCTCAGCAGATACCAGCAAGCTTTGGCCAGATAAAGCAGCCGGGATAGCTTGCATTTGAACCGGAGTTGGAATTTCATACCCTGCAACTTCTAAGTTATCAAGAAGCTTTTGAGGAACATTGCATGAGGAAAACGATGTGAAAGGAGGTGGAACAAGGTCACCCTTCACGGTAATGTTGAGTTTTCTCCTCAACAACTCTGATTTATCAAGGTCCAGAGATTTCAATTCAGATTTATTGCTACCATCCTTCACATAATAACACTCATCAGTACCTGGAAATTTTACTGGAGGAGTGCATGGGGACGGTTTTCGAGATTTTTGTATCCGAGATAAAAGAATCGATTTACATTCAAGACTACAAATGTCATCATCAGTTTCATCGCATATATATTCACCATAACGACCACATACAATACATTTTGGCTCATCTGGAAGCCCTTCCCTCTGTTCCCAACACCTCTTCTTCACGTCATTATCCAAATCTGAAGGTAAAATAGAAAATTTATTGCAGTTATTCACGGACTGGGGAAATTGTCATATGTACCACTCAGATTTAAAGGCATTTCTCTAAATGATCCTCTCGTACATAGGTCTCTAAACTGAAAGATTGAAAGATTAAAAGATAATGAAATTTTCTGTGGGAGACTGGCAACCTTATGTTTGGGTGAATTTAACCATCTCATTTACATGCTCCATAGAATAACCCTGAAGTCCCTGAGGCATCTAAAATCCTCCATTTTGAGAGATTTAGATAGGCTAAAAATGTAAATGTAATAGGTAAGCTCACAACGCACATGACTTTGACATAAACGTTATATGTTTTAGAGTTCGAAACAATCAAATCAGAGAGTTATCTAAAGAATACTTTAAAGCTAAATATATCTCAAGAAGCTCCCATAAAAGAGAAATGGTAAACAACTACTAAAGTGAATACATGAGAGTACCTGAAGCTTGATTAGTTTCAGTTGCAGCAACTATTGAAGTATCCATGGTTTCGGAACTTCCAGATGAATAATTACACACTTTTGTTCTCCGCGATGTCAGCAAAACATCATAATACAGCAAATTGGATTTTTAATACATGGAAACCAATCATAAATGAGTGGAACGAATCGCTGATGACGATTAAAACGAGTTTGTTGATTTCCTTCTATTCTTCTGACGATTCTTCAATTCACGTGGTTTCGCCCCCGGCGTCGGGTCGGGTCGGGTCAGAAATGAGAAATCTTCTTATTTCTGAATTAGGGGTGTTTGGATCTGATTCTTAAAATTACTTGTGCTCCTTGAAGAAGCACAAGCAGAAACTGGAATGTTTGTGTGAACGTCCAGAAGTAATTCTGGTGTTCTAAGAGAATCTTCAATGCTAAAACGTTAACTGTGCATACGTGGCATGAGAAATAACCAATTAAAAAACAATAAATAGAATATCTTACATCATTTTGTTAAGTTTTTCTTCACAATATCAAACACAATGTCTAAATGTAGACATTGTGGTTGACATTGCAGACAAAAACTTACTAAAAACACATAAGACCGTGGAAAGAAAGAGAGAGAAATGTCATAAAATCAATATTTTATGTATATATCTCTCATGCCACATGTGCACCGTGCACATTGTAGCATTAGAGATGCTCTAATGCTACAATGTAGCACAATGTCTAAGGCTTTGTTTACAACCACTTGTACTTAAATAAAAACATTTTTGATAAAAAGTGATTAACAGTAAAAGTTGATAGTGTTTGGTAAAATAAGTGCTTTTTGTGTAACAGAAAAAATAAAAAGTAGATTCTACACCGAAGTCGAGAAAGTAAAAGTTGGTAATGTTTGCTAAAATAAGTGTTTTTTCTTAAAAAAAAAAGCCAAAATCACTTTTTTTAAGTGGTTGCAAACAAAGCCTAATTTACTCTTAGAATCAGTTTTTTAGAAGTTGGGGGAGACTAGCTTCTGAAAACTGATTCTGCTTCTGCTTTAAAAAAGAAGCAGAATCAGAATCAGTTACAAACACGGTGCATGACTGCATGGGCCTATGTCCTTTCACGGTTCATAATCCATTCTGAAATGGGTAATTCTATTGACGGCTAGAAATTACTATGCCCAGCCTCAAATTTTAAATTAATCATTTAAATTAACTCCAATGATTATATGAGCATATTTGGTAGTTTACAAGTTAAAATGTTACGTGCAAAATGATTATATGCAAAATGATTATATGTAAAATTTAGGATTGTCATGAATTTGCACGTAAAATAGTAAAGAAGAGTGGAAACTAACCTCAACGTAATGTGCAGAGTAACGTAGAGTGCTACCCAACGATATTTAGTTCGCCGCATATTTGTTCTCAGTATAAGGATGTAAATTAATTTACTACCCCCTCCAGGTAAAATATTTTACATGATATGATGTAAAATGTTATTAAAAAAATGTAATATAATTTACAATAAATAATTAAAACAAACGTTGTAGAATGTTCTCAATAGTACACGCAAAGTGTGAGGGAGAAACGTATGGATGATCCCAAGTCACACTATGAGGAGGAGGTGTTCACTACCGCCGCTCACCGCCCTGCTCCTCCTTCCCATGCACATTCCTCCGCCAACCAATTCCACCAACTCCGGCCTCAAACCGTCGGCGTCTGCCTAAACTGCCACAGTAGACCAACAACACCCGAGACTGGAGCATGGTCCCCCTCCAATGTGAAGGCTACGTCGGCCACTACATGCTCGGCCACCAGTACCGCGACGATTGCATCTCCGTCACCGTCGCCGCCATCCAATACGCCAAGATGGTGGCCGTCAAAGCCGACGGCGGCAAGGACATTTGGGTTTTCGGCATCGACGAGACCACTCTCTCCAATCTCCCTTACCAAGGTTTTAAATAGCGGTCCGCTACCGCTATAGCGGCCGCTATATAGCGGTCGCGGTAGGGGCCGCTACCGCTACGGCCCGCTATTCCGCTGTGAATTCCAAATCACGGGAAAAACCCGCTACGCCGCCCGCTACAGCCCGCTACAGCCCGCTACAGCCCGCTATTGACATTTCCGGCAGTACGTCACGAACGCGTTGATGTGTAAATGTGTCTATGTTGTGTAAATGAACTCTTATTGTTATAAGTGTTCAAATAAATATTCACAATGTTTGTATTAACTTCAATACTCATTAAATATATGTTTTGCGCAATTGAAAATATTTCACGCCGCTGCAATCGCTACAGTCGGCTACAGGCCGCTATAGGCCGCTACCGCGATGACCGCTACCGCTACCGCTACGGCTATTTAAAACCTTGTCCCTTACTATGCTCGCTTCGACGTCGCCTTCTGGGCGACAAAATATAATAGCACCAAATTTGATGCGTGGATATGGGAAGGGAAGGCACCGGGAGTGCCCGGAATGGTGCGGCTCTATCGAACTCTGACCGCTATGGGGATTAAGGTTGTGTTTCTCAGTGGCACAAAAGAAGAGTTCAGGAAAGTGAGAGTTACCAATCTCAGGAACGCTGGTTACAGAATTATCGGAAACATTGGAGACCAGTGGAGTGATTTGGTTGGAGATAATGCCGGGTTACGTACTTTCAAGCTGCTGGATCCTATGTACTACATTGCTTAGCGTCCTTTCCCATAATATAGCCAATAAATCAAGCTTAGTTAGCTTCTTAGTAGCTTGGTATGCTCAGCCTTCTTGGTTAGTCAATTTGGAGCATCTTCCACGGTTAGCTAATTATCTTCATAGCTTGACTAGCCACATATGCGGTTGCAACAAAATTAGAGTAGAATGTATTCCAGTGGTTAGCTATAACATCCGGCTCTTCATTTATTATTAATGGTGTTATATTTAATATTAAAAAAAGTACACGCAAAGTGTTTACTCTGCATCGTAACAAATAGGCCCTTAGTATAACAACACAATTATAGTCACTTTGCCTCATACGACATTATACTCCCTCCGTTCCAAATTGTTTTGTGAAGTCAACATTTTTTTGGTCAACCAATAATAAAAGTCAAACATCCTTATTTGATAATTAACTCAATTTTTAATAAATAAAATTTACATATTCAGAAACTACATTAAATTCTCTTTAAAGTTGCATACTTCAAATTAGAATATAATTAAAAATTAATAACCTAATTAAGCAAATAAAATGAAAATGTTTGACCCAAAAAAGTCAAATTTGCAGATCAATTCGGGACGGAGGTAGTATGCTTTACACAGAAACTACAATTAAAGAATAATATTACACTCATTACGG